CTTTGACATGGCCTTACTCAGTCAATATTAAAGATATAAAGGTTAGATTTTCACAGAATGTTCTTTACCTTATCAAGGATGATTTTATGTAGAAAACAGTAAATCACACAAAAAAAATTACTTTAGCTGGGTTTTCACAGAGAGGGAGAAAATTTACCTAAATTGGTATGCTGAAAATATAATTTGTTATTAATTCATTAACAATTTAAATAGAATTTTAGTGGTCTCAGATGTCTGAACCCCACTGTATATATATATTTTTTGACTATAAAGAGTGCATTACCGTCATAGTCAAGTTTCAAGTGCTAGGAACAATTAAACATTCAAATGAATGTTAGATTGATTTTAAATTACATTAATATGATGTAGCAAGTCCTAATCTGGAGAACCGCCTCACCTCTGTGATGAGCAAGTTGATGAGGCCAAGAGAAACTGGCATGATCCAGGTAGAGTCTGGGAGAGTGAGGTCAGGGAACCACAGAACACCACCTGTTGCCAAACCTGCTTCTGATGTTGATGAATGTACAGAAATATATATGTTAGTACAGTATATTAAAAGCTCCCTACAGGTGATTATAGGGATGTACTGCTAAATTCAAACAACAGAACATGTGGAACAATTGACCGATGGATGCGACTCACCGAGGGGAACATGTCCCATTCCCAGGCTGAGATTACGCAAGGCCAGAGACAGACAAACCCACATGGGCAGCTGGACCCAGATCAGCAAACTGGCTTTGAATGGGTGGCAGTTATCTCGAACATAAAGCTCAGACACGATTCGTTTCAGATTCTTCTTGAAATGGAACCTGTGAATGCAATTATAGTAATTAAGTGGCTAACAATGTTTTGTTGTAACTGACAAACTGTATATTATACTGTTTTTGTCAGACCATGCCAGTGTGATGAAAATAAATCTTGTTCAGTAAAAATATCTAAATATTCATATTAAAAAATTTTTTTTTACTAAAGAAGCACACTTGCATTAGATATTAGAACTGTTTTTTAATATTGCCTATACGTTTAATATTTAATTATAGATTTAGATATATTTAGGTTTAAAAATAATTTTAAGTTTTACAATATATTTGATATTTAAAAAAATATGTATTTACTAATATTTAAAATGTTCTTACCCCAATGGTAAATACATTTTAGTTTTAAT